TTATTATGTTCTTTATTTAACAGTCAACACACTAGATCCAGTTTATGTTTTCAAGTTTAGACAGATCTAAAAGATAACTTACTGAATGTGTTATTATGTTCTTTATTTGACAGTCAACACACTAGATCCAGTTTATGTTTTCAAGTTTGGACAGATCTACAAAGTAACTTACAGAATGTGTTATTATGTTCTTTATTTAACAGTCAACACACTAGATCCAGTTTATGTTTTCAAGTTTAGACAGATCTACAAAGTAACTTACAGAATGTGTTATTATGTTCTTTATTTAACAGTCAACACACTAGATCTAGTTTATGTCTTCAAGTTCAGACAATTCTACAAAGTAACTCACTGAATATGTTATTATGTTCTTTGTTTAACAGTCAACACACTAGATCTAGTTTATGTTTTCAAGTTTAGACAGATCTACAAAGTAACTTAATGAATGTGTTATTATGTTCTTTATTTAACAGTCAACACACTAGATCCAGTTTATGTCTTCAAGTTCAGACAATTCTACAAAGTAACTCACTGAATGTGTTATTATGTTCTTTGTTTAACAGTCAACACACTAGATCTAGTTTATGTTTTCAAGTTTAGACAGATCTACAAAGTAACTCACTGAATGTGTTATTATGTTCTTTATTTAACAGTCAACACACTAGATCCAGTTTATGCCTTCAAGTTTAGACAGTTCTACAAAGTAACTCACTGAATGTGTTATTGTGTTCTTTATTTAACAGTCAACACACTAGATCCAGTTGATATTTTCAAGTTTAGACAGTTCTACAAAGTAACTCACTGAATGTGTTATTATGTTCTTTATTTAACAGTCAATACACTAGATCAAGTTTATGTTTTCAAGTTTAGACAGTTCTACAAAGTAACTTACTGAATGTGTTATTATGTTCTATATTTAATGCAAATTGTATAAAAAATTATCTTTAGTTTCATCTAATTTCTGCTGATACGTTGCATTTAAACAGATTTTAAACCAATGGAGTTTCATGATTAAACTTAATGAAAACCTAATAGAAAGCCATCTGTTCTCAAGTTTAATTGCTTAAACTCTGGATACTGAATGACCTTTTAAGATTGTAAAGACAACTGATAGTGTTGATTCATCATCTTTTTCATACTTAACAGCAAGACTAGGGGACACAAATATAAATTTTGGCAAGGTAGAAGTCATCTTCAGCTAGGACAGTATTATTTTTCTAAAAAGGTGGTTGGCCTCTGGAATGAGTTGCCTTTGGATGTTGTGGAGGCAGTTAATTTAACGAGTTTAAGAGAAAGCTTGATAACTATATAAATAATAAGGGCTAACTTTAAGATTTTTATTTTATGTATTTTTTTGATAATTTTAGTTTAGTTTAGAGGATAGGACAGCTGAGATGGACCAATAAGTCCCTTGTTGTCCCTAAACATTGTTATGTTCTTGCTGGATGATTATAACACAGTTGGATGCACGTACAAAAAAAGGGATTCAATTTAACAATTTAAGCATTAATAACAAAGCTACTCATGTAAATACTTAAAGTTTTACCTGTACTCACATTATTTTTTAATCATTTAAGAAATAGATAGTTTCATAAATAAAAAAAAATCAGAATCTTGACCCACGATTTGTGTCACTAAAATTCCAAATTCTCAGGATTTAGAAAAAGCTTCATATCAAGCAAGAAAACTTTGGCACATTCAACTTATAAAATTTCCAAACATTAAACTAAAATACACAAAAGAACTATACTAAGAAGTACAAAGGTCAGACTTACAGGTCACATTCTTCATGCCATTCTGGATTCTTGACTCTCTCCTGCACACTAGTTTGAAATTTTTCCTTACCCAATTGAATTGTAACATATGCATCATTCGTTCCTGTTGAAAAGTTAAAAATAATGACTTTTGTTTTTAGACTGCATAAATGGAAAACCACTAATGGGGAAAAAATAAATGCATAAACTACATATAGTGTTTAATAAAACTAGTAGAGCAATAACTTTAGCTGGGATTAATACATCTTGTGACAGATTCCTAACAAAAAACATGGCAAAACAGATCTTACAAATCATAAGCTACATGTAGTGTTTAATAAAACTTGTAGGGCAATAACTTTAGCTGGGATTAATACATCTCGTGACAGATTCCTAACAAAAAACATGGCAAAACAAATCTTACAAACCATAAGCTACATGTAGTGTTTAATAAAACTTGTAGGGCAATAAATTTAGCTGGGATTAATACATCTTGTGACAGATTCCTAACAAAAAACATGGCAAAACAAATCTTACAAATCATAAGCTACATGTAGTGTTTAATAAAACTTGTACGGCAATAACTTTAGCTGGGATTAATACATCTTGTGACAGATTCCTAACAAAAAACATGGCAAAACAAATCTTACAAATCATAAGCTACATATAAACAGTAATTATGCTCCTTTAACACTAGGAATGCCATTGTAACCTTTCAAAAATATTAACCAAAGTATTCTTCTTTAGATGTAAAGTTTTGATTAAATAAAAATATCAAATTCAACCATGATTGAAAAATTGTTTGTTTTATGAGTTTGGTAACTGTTGTAATAAACAAACTAAGTTCATGTACCTGTAAAGGATATTTGTCAATTATTAAAGAATGCCAAGATTAATGCTGTTAAACTATGCTCTCATTCAAAATATTAAATTGAAAATATATTAATTGGATTTGCTGCTAAAAAACATTACATTACATATTTGTAAACTGTTGCCATACAAATGGCATTTTTTCCCATTCTATATCACAGTATGCACCTTAAAGCATCTGAAATCAGTTTCTTGCTTAATCTTACTTAACTCGTTGGAGTTAAGCTAATCAAAAAGATGATACATGTAATTTACTAAAAGCAAGAAATGGTGTCGGCTTTAAGTTAGCAGCAATGGTACTTTTTTCTAACTGCACTGTAACAGAAAAACTAAGCTTCCCCTCAAAATAGATTGTACTGGATTCTCTTCCAGCTTTGTATTAAAGTCTAAGATCACATATGTTTATCAAGGTCAGAACAAAAATATAATTTTAAATGTATGTAACTTAGACACTTCATATTAATCTTTGAGATAACAATATTTATAAAAAAAGGGACTGCATATCAAATATTTTACACATAAATCCAAACATTATACTAATAATGAACTTATTTCAAGTTTGGATTGTTAAACATCAAGAATTACTAGTGTATTTGAATGTTTGACATAACTTCTTGATAAATAATGTGACTTCTAAACAGTAGTATAGACATACGTTATGAATGGCTATAATATAACAAGTGTAGGAAGGTTACTGTTTCACAGATATTCTGATGTACTACTATTGTATTACATATCAAGGTTCAAAATATCCAGACAATCAGAATGTAGACTATGAACCCACTCTAAAAATTATGAATAACACAAGATTCATAACTTGCAAAAACGTGTTTAAAATAACCTTATAATGACAGCTTTGTATAACTTTAACCTCTCTTAAGTTATCAATTAGAATTTTCTAACTCGCACAAAGCAGAGATTCCCTTAAAAAACTGAATCATAAGTACACAAGAAATTAATACTCTGTTATATCTATGCATTTAAATAAATAAAAGTGTAGACAAAAATATAGACTCAATCATCTATTTTTCAACTGTACAAAAATTTGCAAAATATAATCAAAATCAAAAGACAAATTTGCCAACATATTTAACCTCGAGCATACTCAAATCTACAAATTCTATCATTAGTGATTTAATGATACTTACAAGTATATGCATGCTAATATAAAAACGAAGAAGAAAAAGGCATTAAAGTATAACAGAAATATCTACAGAGATATACAAAAAAATAAAACTAAATTAATATAAAATAAGATTATGTACTTGTAAAAGAAAGAGTGGAAAATATTGTATCTTCTCATTTAAGTTAATCTAGAGAGAAGTTATGTTCATAAACAAAAAAATCTTTCTTCTTGTTTAATTAAGTTAATATCAAATAAATTATGTACTTAGAAAAGAAAGATCTGAAAAAAACACATGTTCTTGTTTAACTGATTGGATATAAAAAGAAGATATACTTACCAAAGAAGGAGTTGAACAGAAGTTATGTTAATGTTTGTTATTCAGATACATAAATTTGAATCAGTTGATATAAAACTGATTAACTTACAATGATCATGAGTTGAGTACTTAGACTTTACACAGAAATAAGTTGTTTTTTTTTTCAGGAGTACAAGAACTTATGAGTTCATAACCAGTTCTAGTGAAACTTTATAATTTAGCACATAAGCATATATCTGTAACTTTGGAATTGTATTAATAAATATAAATCTTCTTACAACAAATCTAGCTATATTTTCTAACTCCTTAACTTCAACTTACTGATTACTTATTTCTGTTTGAATCTACTCATTGAAGTTTTTCATTTAGTGCTGTATCTTTTTTCTACAACTACACATAAAAGCCTCTCTGGCAAGCCTAATCATCTGACTAAACATAGGACAGATGTTGGTTACAAAACATTTACTCTTAGTAACACTACAAAATGTTGACTTAGTAACACCACAAAATGTTGACCCCTAAATAACAAACACCTAACTTATGCTATCCAGTAAAAAAAAATCTCTTCAATAATCCTATTAATTGATTGACTCAGTAACCAGTTTACAGCATTTATCTACCAAAAAAAAACAACAAACCTTTTCCTGGCTTTCAAAAGCTCATTGTTACAAATTTGTAACAAACCCTTTTTAAATATAACTGTGGCTTGTACCATGTGTTCTAGTTGTCTCTCCATCAACTCCAAAATTACACTTTCACAAAACATTCTGAACAAAACAATTATTATCTCTTGAAATTTTAAGAAACAGAAACAATTTCCTAAAAACTGAAGTAACTCTATCAAGAAACATAAGGGTTAGCCATCCTTTCTCAGGAAAACAAACATTTCCTGTATGAACTTATACAAAAATATCTCATTATCCATACATAAAATTACAAATGACTTTTTTTATAGGAAAATGGACAGATTATATGGTATGTGGAAAACACTTGCAGTTAACTTGATTTTTATGACTTCTTATCATTTTTCTGGCTTCACAGCATGGTTCAAACTAAAAATATTTAGTCTCTCTTCTGAATTCATTGATAATTTGACAAATACACAAACAGTAACCACAATCAACTGCATAGACACAATATTACAATAATAAAAAGTATATGACTATATTATATAAATGCTCTGAACAGAAGAGGTTAAGAACAGTTAAACTAATTATATTAAATCTAGTAATAGAAATATTACTTATTCCAACCCAAGATGCACATTAAGTTTTATCAATAACATTTGATCAAAGTAGGCTACCTACATAAATTAGAACAAACAAGTATGTTAGTAAATAATGCAGCTAATTTAATATACCAGTCAACTATAAGTGTGCAATGTCTTAAAACAAAACTCACAACAATTATAATACTTGCATTCATTACTTATATTAATATACCAGTCAACTATAAGTGTGCAATGTCTTAAAACAAAACTCACAACAATTATAATACTTCCA